CACTGGGGCAGCCCTTTCCCCCTGGCTGGGAGTGGGAGGGAGGAGGGGGCGGAGTTAGGGTGGGGAAGGGGCGGAGTTGGGGCGAGGCTAGGGGGTGGGGAAATGGGCGGGGCCATGGCCCGTGGAGGGTCCTCTTTTTTTATTTATGAGATATGGTAACCCTACTGTTTCCAAAAGGAAGCCATTCGATGTGAACCTTTCTGATCAGACCCGGTTACTGTGGGGTTCCCTGGGCAGTTCTTGTGACATTCTGTACCCCTATGTTCACCCCTTTTACAGGTCTATGACAAGTTTCATACAAAGTATGTCTTGTAAGGTATCATTGGAAAAAGTAATAATTTGCTGATCATTACGGTCTTGGTAAAATATGGGTGGCAATGTTGTATGTAAAGTTATAAGATTAATCTGTATGGTATTATTAAGCCCTTGTGCACACAGTTTTGTCAGCAAAAGGCAGCTTTTCCCAATGAAACAGTGGAGGTGTACACACTACAATGCTACTCTCCTCTTTTCGTGACAAAATAAAACCACCTTGACGAGAGGTGTCGAGATTTTTGAGCCAAAGTTTTATCGACAAAATGTCAGTGTAGACATCATGCTTGGTTTTGTTGATGTACACTCCAGGAGGTGTCCCACAATGCCCATCCTGACCGCTCTGGTCAGCAGTTCAGACTGCGCTGCCGTGCTGCCAGGTAAGCAAGCATCCACCCCTTTCCCCCTTTAAAGCCCCATGAATTTTGAAATTCCACTTCCTGTTTGCTCGGCATGGAGAACTCACATGACATTTTCCCAGCTGACCATGGCGGCTCTACATGGCAAACGCTCTCCCACTTGGAGCGCTGTGGAGCTGTTGGATCTGCTGAGTAGATGGGGAGAGGAGGCTGTGCAGTCCCAGCTGTGCTCCAGCCGTAGGAACTTTGATACCTACGGGCAGATTTCTTGTGGCTTGTGTGATAAGGGCTTCAAACGGGACATGGTGCAGTGCCGAGCGAAGATAAAGGAGCTGAGGCAGGCACACCAGAAGGCAAGGAGGCAAATCATCACTCCGGGGCTTCTCTGAAGCCCTGTGACCATTCTTGGCGGCAGCCCCACCTCCACCACTAAGAGTCTTGTGGATACTTTGGCGGGGCTGGAGGTGGCGGACAGTGGACCTAACCTCAAGGACAAAGTCGTGTACAAGGAGGTGGAGTTCGATGATGACGCAGAGCCCATGGCAGGGTTGTCCGGTGCGGCGGTGAGTCAGGAACTGTTCTCCAGTTCGGAGGTGTCTATCCAGTCCCAGCAGCCCTACTCCAGCGAGGAAGAAGCAGGAGAGGAGACCCCTGGTAAGTGATCTTTTGGAGCTGGTCCTGCCCGGTTATATGATGTTCAGCTTTCCTTTCCTCTGTATAGTGTAGAAGGGATAGAAATGTATAAGACTAGCTGTGTTTACATGTGCTCCAAATTACCCTGTGCAGCTAAGCAGTGTGGCAGCACAGTGTGTTGATGCACACCAAGATTTCACGGGACTCCTCCAGAGAGATCTCTAGGAAACTTTCCTGCAGGTACTTGGCAATCCCCTGCCAAAGGTTCCTTGGCAAGGCTGCTTTGCGCCTTCCCCCATTGTAGGAAACTTTCCCTCGCCCCTCGGCAATCACTTGTGCAGGGACCAAAGGGGCACACAGGTGAGCAGAATAGGGCCTGGGTCTGAAGCCGCACGTGTGCAGTAGATGCACCCTTGTAACCTTGCTTACACTCAGGAGTGAGATATTGGCTTCCACAACTCCTACCTGTGGAAAATGGTGGCAGAATTTACAATATTGTCCCTAGTTGCCTGTACTGATCCCTGTGAAACATCACCTATACTCTGCCCCAGCTTGAACGCCATGTTTAGGGAGTTCTCTGAGATGTGTACTTGCCAAGGGTCAGTGAGAAAGTGATTGGTATGTTACAAGAGGTGTATTTTACTTTAATGATTCAATGCTGTTCATGTATGTGTTATGCTCTGTACCTCGGGGGAACACCTGGCACCCCCATATTCATCCTTGTAAAATTATTGTTTGGTATCCAATGCAAAGTTTGTCATGTCGGGTGTCTTCGGAAGGCTCACGATGCACTGAGCATTGTTGTTAGATGAAATTATAACCTATAACATTACTGTATGTACTTATGAGGCTGAAAACATATCTTCATGGCTTAAAATAAGCCCAGGCAAAAACTCTCCAAGAGCAGAGAGGCAGTTCACACCTCATCAAGGCAGGTATGGGACAAATCCAGCCCAGCCTCACAGGAATAAAGGACGCTGGCCTAAGCAGCAACAAAGGATCTGTTGTATTCTTGAGTGAGTCACCCCCTTTCCTTTGGCCAGTTTGGGACTACGATGAGGTAATGCTCACCTGACTCTGAAGAAGGGGGCAAAGCCAAGAGGGAAGAAGGAACATGATAAAAAGGAGAGACGTTTGCCATGATCTTCCTCTCTCTTCCACCTCCATCTACAGACATCAACATCAAGCGACTGGACCGCTGATCAAATGGGAGAGCCTGGCTGAAGGGCAACCAGCCAGCCTGTGGTGAGAAGCATCTAAGTTTGTAAGGGCATTGAAAGTGTTAAGATCAGCTTAGAATGTGTTTTGCTTTTATTTCATTTGACCAAATCTGACTTGTTATGCTTTGACTTATAATCACTTAAAATCTATCTTTGTAGTTAATAAATCTGTTTGTTTATTCTACCTGAAGCAGTGCGTTTGGTTTGAAGCCTGTTCGAGATTCCCCTTGGGATAACAAGCCTGGTACATATCAATTTCTTTGTTAAATTGACGAACTCATATAAGTTTGCAGCGACCAGCGGGCATAACTGGACACTGCAAGATGGAGGTTCCTAGGGTTGTGTCTGGGACTGGAGATATTGGCTAGTGTCAGTCGGTTGCACAATCCAAGGAGCAGCTTACATGCCAGAGGCTGTGTGTGAAGAGCCCAGGAGTGCGGGTTCTCATAGCAGAGCAGGGTAAGGCTGGCTCCCAGAGTCAAGGATTGGAGTGACCTAGCAGATCACTGGTACAGATAACACCAGAGGGGAACATCACACTGTCCCCATACACCCCCTCTATCTATCTGTCTATCTCTATATACACTGACTGTCTGAGTTGTGGCCCAGCCCCCTTCCTCCCAGCCCCGCTCACGCTGTGGGGAGACGCTTGAGAAGGATCAAAGGGCCAAGTTCCCACCAGCAGCTGAGATGAGTCAGGGCTAACCACAGCGCCCACATGCTTTGAGCTGGGAGCTTATTGTCCGCAGCTATGCTCCCCAGCTCCAGCTATACATGAAGACTAGATGTGCAGGGCAATCACCTGTACAGGGCAACCAGCTGTGCTGGCAGAGTGCCAGGAGGCATGAGTGCCAGGAGAGTGCCAGGAGGCACGACCTGCAGTGGGCACCACATTGGGTTATGCACGGAGCCAGGCTGGACACAACCACAGCTGCTGAGCTTCCCCGGGGAAGGGGTGACTCAGCAGGGCCTGTTCTTCCCACCGGCCTGCGTGGTCAGGTGTTCAGGCGTTGAGGTGGCTGATCTGCCCCACTGAGGTGAGTGTCAATGTGTCTTGAGGTCCCCCCGCCCCTCCCCTGCCTGCCCTATATTAAACCCCCGGGCTGAGACCGGGATGCCATCCCCTCCCCTGGACAATGCTGCTGCTGCCCATGGCCTTTCTCCTGCCCGTCAGAGCTCAGGCTGGTGAGTCTGGGGGAGAGGGGAGCAGAGCCCTTGTCCTGCTGTTAGGGTGGCAAGTCCTAATTTAGCATCAGGCGCCGGACTCAGGGAGACGGGGGGAATGTGTGTGTGGGATTCTTGGGGCAGGTGGCTCGTAAGGAGGATTTGGCGGGCGGCGGGGGGGGGGGGTATGGACTCGGCTCATGGGGACATGTGCAGGGATGTAGCTGGATTCCTGTTTGGGAGAATATTCTGCTTTTGTGTCTCTTTTGATTGATCTGCTTGTTGCTCCCCCCTGCCCTCAACATTGTGTTTCTCTGGGGGAGGGGGGGGGTCTCTGCCAGGGGAGATCATTGGTGCACAGGAAGCCCGGCCCCACTCCAGACCCTACATGGCCTTCGTGGAGACAAAAATGGGGCCAGAGAGCACCATTAACTGTGGGGGGTTCCTAGTGTGAGAGGATTTTGTCCTGACAGCCGCACACTGCACCAAAGAAGGGTGAGGTGCCCCTCAGATGCCAGCCACATGGCTGCTGTCCAGCTGCCTGCGGATCAGAGATGGGGGATGGCCCCGTGGCCACTTGGGCTCTGCTCAGCCCCTGCACAGGGCAAACCCTGATGTAGACATGGCTCAGGAGCCGAGCCCTCCCTCACCTCCCAGGGTGGCCCCCTCCATCCATCCCTGACTGAAGAGCACTTGCAGGGCATTGAGGGTGTAGTCAGAGGCAGGACAGATAGTCCCTCATCCAGCTTTCAGGGGTGTTCTGCTGGGCTCTCTCACCTACCTCTCCCCGACTGCACAGGCCACAGGGGATAGCAGGGAAACGGCTGCTGAGGACAGGGTAGATTCAGATGGGAAAGAAGGAAGCTTCTTATTTTGTGCAAAACCAAGTTCAGGGCCCTCGTTGTGTCAGGCACTGCCCAGACCCCGACCGAGATCAGGGCCCCCATTGTGCCAAGCACTGTCCAGACACACACTGAGACCCTGCCCCAAAGAGCTTCAGGACAGATTTTTAAAGGTTTTGGGGTTCCTGATGGGATGGGAGTTCGGTGCATAAAACCCTTTAACAATCCAGCCTTGGTAGTCTGTGTAGACACTTGCTGGATCCTTGCTTCCCACTCTTCTCTGAGTGCGGGCTGACATTTCCAAGGGGTTTAGGTGCCTGGTGGGATTTTCAAAAAGCACCTCTGTGCATCTTTGGGTGCCTGAATCCTTTTGCAACCCTGGCCTGGCCCCTTGGTGCTTTGGAAACCCCCAGCTGTGGGGAGCGGGGGGATGTGTGTGATTCAGGGCAATGGGAAATCAGGTTGTAGGGGGAGCAGAGAGGGAGCTGGGCAGGGGGCTGAGAGGCAGATAGTAAGGAGTGGGGAAGAGGGAGGGAGTCCCCAGCCCCAGAGATACGGGGCCGTGAGCAGTGATTTTTCCAAAGGTCTGTAATGTCAAAGCCAGTTCCTGGGCTCCAGCTCCCTTACGTGGCTTTGTTAATTTCAGAAACTCCAGAGACCAGGAGACTCATTATAAAATTGCAAAAGTTAAGAAAATAAATCTGGAGACAGACCCCCAAATAACCAGCATGATAGATGAACGGGCATGGAAATCTCATGATTTTTCAGCCAGTCTCAAGATTCCCCTCCCCGCCCCCCCGCTCATCCTCCAACTTTGACTTGTGATTTTTGGAATCCTACAGCTCTGGTGACACGCCCACTGTCGTCATCCTGGGAGCCCACAGCCTCAACCAGAAGGAAAGGACCCAGCAACAGATCCGAGTGCAACGCAAGATTCTCCATGAGGACTTTGATGGGACAACCTTGGAAAATGACATCATGCTGCTCCAGGTAGTGTCTTCCACCACAGGGTCCCATGCGCTCCAGTAACCACATGCTGATGTGGTGGGGCTGGGCTCATCTGGGTACCATAGTGCTAGGAGGGGAGTGGGGTCTAACGGTTAGAGCAGGGGGGTCTGGGAGCTAGGACTCCTGGGTTCTATCCCCAGCTCTGGGAGGGTGGAGGTGGTTAGAGCAGGTAGGAGCCAGGACTCCTGGGTTCTATCCCTGGTTCTGCCACTGATTCTGTATGTGCTTGAGCAAGTCACCTCACTGTTTTGTGCCTCAGTTTCCCCCTTTGTGAAATGGGGATAAGTTTTAAGCCCCCCTTCCCAGGGTTCATTAATAATACACTGTGAAATCCGTGGCTAGAGTGAGCCAAAGAAGGCCAAAGTATTAATCGGTTCTGTCTGTCTCCAATCCCACCGCTTTGGAGGGCAGTGGAAAGGGCAGAAGCATCTCCCAGGCCATGCTGGTAAATCTCTTCTCTCTCCCCTCTGTCTCTCCCACGAAAGCTGGAGCGCGAGCTGAATGGACCAACGCGATGAAACCCATCCCTCTGCCCCCGGCCAACTTCCTGCTGAAGCCAGAGGCCACGTGCAGCATGGCCGGCTGGGGCCATACCGGTGCCCACATGGTGCGTTTTCCCACCAGGCTCCAAGATGTGACCTTACAGATGGCTGACAACAAGCAATTCGGACTCTTCTTCGACTCCTTCAACCGGACGTCCATGCTCTGCGTGGGGAACATCAAAACAAAGCAGTCGTCTTTCGTGGTGACGCCCCTACTGTAGTCGGGCTGTCCTGGCTTGTAGACTCCCTTGAGGGTCTCACTTATTGGATTTTATGGAGGTCTCATTTTCCAGCCATCCAGAGGAAAAAATCCTGTGGACATTAATAGAGGCTGGGGAAAGGTAGCCTGGAATCTTATCATGATTGGAGGCAATAAGGACTCTTCCTCCAGTGGAGGCACCCCCTATGGAGTCCCCCACCCTGCTCCCCATGGCATAGCCCCCACCCCAGTGACCCCCCTCAACCTGCAGCACAGCGCCCCCTAGTGCTGCACTGGGGCCTTGGGTCAGCACTGACTGACAGGGGAGAGCACCCCCTAGTGAGTCAACATGGTCCCTCATCCAAACATGGAACAGGTTATTTTAAAATTGGACCTGTTACATCCAGAGATGGGAGCAGGATGAATCAGTGAGTGCCCAGCTCTGACAAAGTGCTGGGTATGGGTGGGGCTGGCTTATTGCATCTTGAATTCCCCCCAGCCTGCTTTCACTGTAATGTTCCCTCCTCTTCTCTCCGTAGGGTGACTCCGGGGGCCCGCTGGTGTGCAATGGGGTCACCCAGGGCATCGTCTCTCACGGGAAAGACAGTGGCCTCCCGCCCGCCGTATACACGCGGATCTCCGCATTCATCCCTTGGCTCGGGAAGAAGATGGGCAGGGAGTAGGCTGTGCAAAGAGACCAACGGGCTTCCAGCTGCTCTGCCATTCTGCTGCCTTCGCTACTTCTGGGGCTTTCCTGTCGGAGCGGGGATGCTGCTGCACTCCTCTGGGGGCACCCCTGAGCTAGCCAGTCCTCGCCTCACCCTGGGGTCGGATGGGAGCCAGCGCCCCCTAAAGGGGACAGGCTCTGTGCTCCATTCTTCATCCCAGTCCCCCAAGCCAGCCAGTCCCCCCTGGGGCTAGATCAAAGCTGGTGCCCCCTAGACTTCATGTCCCCGTTCCCCACCCCCCTGAGCCAGCTAGTCCCTTCCCTGGGGTCGGATGGGAGCCGGCACCCCCTAGAGGGGAAAGGCCCTTTGTCCAATTCTCTTCTCTTGTTCCTTGGCATGAAAACTTTTCTCTGTAATGTGCTTGATGAAAACCCGCAACGTTCTCTCCTCTGCGGGTCCGAGCCATGGCTTGCGATGCAATAAACAGCTTTAAGCAGCAGCTGGTGCTGGTGTCTGGACTCCTGAGTCTTTCTCTGAATGGAACAGCTGTCCTTGGGCGGCCCCCCAGCGTCTCAGGAGGCCCCTTCCAGCCGGGATGCAACCCTCTTCTTCACCCGGTCCGTGATGTCTTGCAGCTGGAATTCACGGGACTCCCTAGACTGGATCCAAGGCAGTGGCTATCTACCCAGAGTCCTGTCTCTGACAGTTACCAGCATCAGAGGATGGTGGTAGGACCCCACAGTAGAGAGTGATGAGGTGAGACACCAGGACTGTGGTGTTTGCGGAGAGGGAAACAACATTTACAGAGGCTGTTTGGGGAGAAGGGTTCAGCTGGGGAGGGCAGGAGAGAACTAACTTAGCTGGCTAGAGAGAGCTTAGAGTGGAGACTTTCAAAGACCCCCTAAGGTGGCGCAGCTATCTCAGGTCCCTCTGCAATGAGGGAAAATGGATATGATTACAATAGCACCAAGATCGGGGTGCACCATTTTGCCAGGCACTGCCCAGACCACGACTGAGATCAGGGCCCCGTCGTGCCGGGCGCTGAGAGGAGAAGTTGTCTTGCTGAAGGTTACACAGAGAGTCAGTGGCAGAGTGGAGAAGAGAAACCAAATGTCCTGACCCCCATTTGGTGCCCCTTGCCACGGGGCCATTCTGCCTCTCGCTTTTTGCCTATGATTGTGGGCTGCCAGAGGAATTGTCGGAAGAAGGTGGAGGGCAGAGGGTGGGGTGGGGAGCAAACTCTTGTAATTCCCTTAGCTCTATCCCAGAACCGGTGCCATTTCCAAACTGAAGGGGGGGAGCACTGTTCTACTCTGTCTTCTAACTTGTACAGGTGGGTCTCTTCTGTTCTATTCCCTCTCATAACCATGCCCAAGGTCCCTTCAATACCAGTCCATGTCCGTCCCACCTGATTCTGGATCTATGAAGGGCTCCCCACCATTTGGAGGTGCTTTCTGCCCATGGACCTCCAGCTGGGCTAGACAAACCCATCGCAGCTGAGCCAGCACCCTCAGCTCTGCTCCCAGATGTGCACATCTGCAAGGGGCAAAAGATCCCAGTTAGGTTCAGCACCAGCTGTGGAGCAGGTGACCCAGCTGGGCTTTTTCCTGACCCATGTGCTGTGGGTTTCCAGGAACTGGTGACTGCAAAAGTCATCCTGCTGCAGCAGCTGGGGCTGGGGCCTGCTGGAGATGGGATCTGGGGTTAGATGGACCTGGGGATCTGAGCTGATCTGGCAATCCCAATGTTCCTGTTTAGATGAGCCAACTGAGTCCCCGGCACAGGACCCAGGGTAAGAAATTACTGACTCTCAACCTGGTCATGACGCCTTTTTGTCCCCTCTGTGCACAGCCAACAGAGTCAATGTCTCCAGGGCTCCCTCTGTCCGCCTGGATCTATGCAGGCTTCCCCATCCTCTCCATCCCTGTGCTCTGTCTGGGCTCTACAGACCCATAGCATCCTACCCACCACCTGTCCCTCCGTCTCTGCCCTGGGCCAGGTGTCTGGAGGCAGATGCTAACAAGGCCATGTCACTGGCTGACATTAGCCACACTCCCCACCAGGTATGCGGATGGAGAAGGGGGTGGGGGAATGGGTGCAAGCTCCATCCAGGGTTCAGCTCTGTCCCAGACGTTCACAGCTCCAGGCAGGGCTGAGCTGGGCCAGCGCCCAGATGTTCTGCAGCCCCAGCTGTGGAGGGCACCTGGATGCCATGGGATAGGCAACGTATGTCTGTGACCCTGCAGCTCCTGAAGGGTCCTGGTGAAAGACTGGGATGGGGAATGAGACCCATGTGTCCAGGACAGCATCACTAGGGGACCCTGCACCTCCCAGCCCCCAGGCACAGGGATCTGGGACCCAAGTCTGTGGCACAACAGTCACTGGTGTCAAAGGGTGACAAAGTAGGACATTTCTGTCATATTTTTATGAATCCCAGGCATGCCTCAGTTTCCTTGTGCACCTTGCATTGCTGCCCAGTGGGGCACCCACCTGGCTCCTGGAGGACTGCAGTCCCTTTGCTGTCTGGAGGGGATGGCTGGGTCATTAAAGAACTGGTTGAAACGGCCCCAAATCACCAGAGGATCAGGGAAGAAAAGGAGACCCCCCCCTGCAAAGACTGAGCCATTGACACCTGCCCACAGGAAACCTTGGAGCATGTGAACTCAGCTGGAGAAGAGGGGGAAAGGTATCAGGGGATAGGAAACGGCCTGTCCTCTGGAGGGAGTCAGCAGCCCTTCGTGGGGACTAAGGACAAAGAGCCAGAAATGAAGTCCAGCCACCTTTGGACGGGCCGTGGCACTGGCAGGGCCGGGATGAGCCAGGGCTTCAGCCCTGCCTCTTCGAGCTGACCAAGGGACATCCAGGGGATGAAGCTATAGGGAAAGTGCAACCCTGCCTCCATCTCTCCATCCTTCTATCCCCATACCCACCCCTCCATCCGTCCATCCCTCCATCAATCCATCCATCCCATACCCACCCCTCCACCCATCCATCCCTCCATCAATCTATCCATCCCATACACACCCCTCTATCCATCCATCCATCCAACCCTTCACCCGCATACCCACCCCTCCATCCCCATACACAGCCAGCCATCCAGCCTCCATCCCATACACACCCATCCATTCATCCCATACACACCCATCCATCCTATATCCACTAGGGGGAGGGATAGCTCAGTGGTTTGAGCATTGGCCTGCTAAAACCAGGGTTGTGAGTTCAATCCTTGAGGGGGCCACTTAGGGATCTGGGGCAAAATCAGTACTTGGTCCTGCTAGTGAAGGCAGGGGGCTGGACTCGATGACCTTTCGGGGTCCTTTCTAGTTCTAGGAGATGGGATATCTCCATATATATACATCCCCCCATCCCCATACAAACCCCTTCATTCCTCCATCCCATGTACACCCCTTCATCCATCCATGCCATACACACCCCTCTATCCATCCAGGCATGCAGATACACCTCGCCTGATCCCCGTCCAAAGCCCCCACCCCATTCCCAGACCCCTAGGTCCTCCTATTACCTATTCCTCCCAGACCCCTCCCTGACCCTTCCTGACCCCGCCTCCATGAACCCCTCTCTCCTCTGACCCCTTCAATCTCCCTGTACCTGCCCCACCCCCATCTCTCCAGACCTCCCCCGTGCCCCCCAGTTCCCTCTTCCTCCCATCCCTGCCCCGGGCCCCGCCCTATGCATTGGCCCTGGGGCTCTGAGCCTGGCCACTGGCCGCGAAGGGGTTAACCAGGGGCTGTGTCAATATCCCGTGAATGGGGCGCGGGCCCTTTAAATCCCAGCCGCTCTACTCTTCCCCCTCCCTTCCCGGCCTAGGAAGCTGCGCATGCGTGCCCGAGCCTGACGAGCCGCAGGCCGGAGAGTCCCTCCACGCGCATGCGCGCCCAGCATTGGCCATGCGCGTGCTAGTGGGTGAGTGGCGCGCGCTGCAGGGGCCGAGTGTGGGATGGCTGGGTGGCCGGGGATAGCAATTAAGCGAGGGATTAATTGCAGGGCTACTGCGGTTGCGCGTGTACCGCAGCGCCTGGGTTTGGACTTGTTCCGGTTTGGGAGCGGAGCTCCCCCTTGCCGCGGGGAGAGGGGGCAGGCACTAAGTCCTTCCCCCTGCAAGACTTCCTCATGCACCAAGGCGCTGGGGGGGGGGGTGAAATGGGCTGGGCTAGTAGGGGGCTGCGGGTCGGGAGTGGGAGGGACTGGCAGAGCTCGGGGCAAGGCCGGCTCCAGGTGCTTGGGGCGGCCACTCCAGAGCGGGCAGCACGTCCAGGTATTCGGCGGCAATTCGGCCGACGGTCCCTCACTCCCGCTCGGAGTGAAGGACCTCCCGCTGAATTGCCCCCGCAGATCTTGATCGCGGCTTTTTTTTTTTTTTTTTTTGGCTGCTTGGGGCGGCCCTGCCTCGGAGGGCAGCCAGGGGCTGTGGGTCAGGAGTGAGGGGCACTGGTAGGGCTGGGCTAGCAGGGGTTGTGGGTTGGGAGTGAGGGGCACCAGCAGGGCTGGGGGAGCCCAGGGCTGAGCTAGTAGGAGGCTGTGGGTCAGGAGTATGGGGCACCAGAAGAGCGAGGGAGAGCCCAGGGCTGGGCTGGCAGTGGGTCGGGAGTGACGGGCATCAATGCTTGAAAGTGTCTATTTAAATCAGGAGGTGGGACCGGCTTTGTGGGCGGAGCCTTGACCCAGCTGTTGAGGAGTCGAGGGCACGAGGTGACCCATGTCTCTCGCCATCCAGGGCCTGACCGGATCAGCTGGGTAGGTGATTGCGGAAGGGGAGTGACTCCAATAATATTGGGCTCATGGGGCAGCCACAGAGGTGCAGGGGGTTAGGAGCCCACTGGCCCATGGGGAGGTTCGCTCCCTGTCCTGGGAATTAGCGCTCAGCCCTAAGACTCCAGGCTGGTCCTAGTGGCATCACTCCAGCCATCCCTCCTGTTGTGCCGGGTGACATCAGAGCCATCCACCCTCATGCTCCAGGGCACAGCCTGCAGGGGTCAGGAAGGAGCTGACTTAGTGCAGCAGAGCAGAGTGAGATTAACTAGGGGCATGTGTGAGTGAGGGGCTGATCCAGGGGATAAGGGGAGACTGGACTGGCAGGATTTAGGGGTTAGTGGGGAGACTGAGCTGTGTGGAATACCATTTCTCTCCTGTCTCCCCAGGATGAACTGTCCCACTCTGGCCTGCCCCCTTGTGATGCTGCGGTGAACTTGGCTGGTGAGAATGTTCTCAACCCCCTTCGCAGGTGTGTCCGGGGCTTTGGGCATGCTAGGGGAGAATAATCCCTGTAACAACCTATGTGGCGTCCCTTCAGTGAAGGACAGAAATGGGGATGACTCAGTCTCTCCCTGTTCTCCTGTACTACTCATAATGCAGTGGAGGTGGGGCAGGACGGAAGGGTTGTGTTCTGCAAATTGGGGATGAATTGGGGGTTGAAACATAATTGTCACTAGGAACCTTTCTTCTCAGAATTCTTGTTTCCAAGGGGAAGCATTAGGAGAGTGCACCAGTGGGGGTATAAATAGTCTTGCCCAATATCTGGCCTCTTTTGTGACACTGATGCTAGCAGCCCTGTCACACCTACACTAGACACCCACCCAACTGTCTCCCACAGAGTGGAACCAGCATCTTCCAGACACCCCACTGCCATTCCCAAATACTCACAGTTCCCCCCACTCTCCCTGGGACAGGGAGCCTTTTCCCACCTACATCTGGGGAGTGTGCGGGGGAGAGAGTCCTGCCTCCCATTGCTCTGGGGCGTGGTGATTTGTGTCACTCCCTTGTACTCCCTTGGGGAGTGCAGGGGAATGGGTTGCTCTCCTTTAGGTACCATTAGAGGGGACTTGGTCAGGATGTGAAACTTCTGCTAGGAACCTTTCTCCTCCTGGGCCATTACTTCTGGGGGAAGATTTAGTGGGATTCACGGTATGGTATAAATAGCTGCTTGTTGGGCTGCGATTGGCAGAGGAGAATGGGGGTGGGGTGGTTGAGTGTGACCCCTTTGTGCTCTCTCCCCCTGAAGGTGGGATGATGCCTTCCGCAGGGTTGTGGTTGCCAGCCGGGTGGAGACCACCAAGACCTTGGCCAAGGCCATCGCTGAGGCCGAAAGGCTGCCCCGCTCCTGGGTCCTCGTCACCGGCGTAGGTATTTATTGTGCATGGCCAGAGTGCAACTCATGCCATCCTGTCCTATGGTATCCCTCCACCAGGTGGAAATAGTCCCTGGGCAGTGATAAGGCAGAGTGTGGCCTCTGGAAGTTACTGCTGAGGGGACAGGAGAAATAGTCCCCAGGTGCAGCACAACCTCCCATAACAGCATTGTGTCCTTCTGCCATGGAGAGAAAATAGTCCCTGTGGTGCATCATCCTTGCACAGCCTTCGCTGGCACTGGTGTGCTTCCGCCACTTAGAGAAAATAGTCCCCAATCATGAGAGGACAGATCACAGCACCTTGTGGAAAGAGTGTGCTTCCACCATTGCATAGAGAGGGAAAAATAGGCCCTGGGTAGAGCACACTTTGCCCAACATGTATCCTTCCGCCACTGAGGGGATATACAGTCCCCCCCTCTAGTGCAAGACAAAGTGCAGCCCTATGTGGCACTGTGGCACTAGGGAGAAGGGAAAATTGGCCTGGGGTGCAGCACAGTCTTCCATGACACATTGTGATCCTTCCGCTGCAGAGAGGGGGGAAAAATAGTCCCTCCTCTTGTAGGTCAAGGACAAAGCACAACCTCTGGTGATGCTGATGTTCTTCCACCATTAGGAAGAGATGGAAAAATAGTCCCCTGGCCAAACACAACATCCTGTGAAACTGTCCTTCTGCCACCAAGAGAGAAGAAAATTTGCATTGTAAGAGAATGGAGCCCAGCCTCCTATGACATCAGTGCACTTCTGACATTGGAGTGGGAGGGAAAATAGTAGTGTTTCTCCCCGTCACCAGATGCAATTGCTACAGGAGAGGGAGGGATATCAATGAGGGGTAGGGCTATGTGCACTGGCTGGCACTACAGTTCCCTGCCCATTGCCTGGCAGGGTATTACCGCCCAAGCCCCACGGCTGAGTACACCGAGGAGAGTCCCGGCGGTGACTTCGACTTCTTCTCACGCCTGGTGAGCGCCTGGGAGGCAGCAGCTAAAATTCCCGGGGACAGCACGCGCCAGGCTGTGGTGAGATCCGGTGCGTCGGGGCATGGGGCCTTTCCCCTCTAGGGGGCGCCAGATACTATCCGGCCTCATGGCAGAGACTGGCTGGCTCAAGGGGGCAGGGCATGGGGCTTGTCCCCTCTAGGGATCACCAGCTCCCATCTCACCTCAGGGCAGGGACTAGCTGGCTCATGGAGGTGGGGAATGGGATACAGGGCCTTTCCCCTCTAGGGGATGCTGGCTCCCATCTGGCCCCAGGGTGGGGACTGGCTGGCTCAAGGTGGGGGGGAAT